CCCTTTGTGTGCTCCAGAAAAAACATTCATCTTGTTTGATCCTTACTTTACACCGGCCACACATTCTACTTCTAAAAAAAAAATGACCACAGTGAGGATTTTGGCTAGAAACAGGAAAGCAGATGTACTATATACTGAGCTTTATTGTTTTTATTCTGTAAGATTTCTTGATTTCTTTCCCACCGAATCATAGAAATGGGATTTGAGGAAACGCACTCTTGCCTCAGTTCGCACAGTGGTTAATTACACTGCGCTCGGAGCAGGGAAAAAACGGAGATGAAAAAACATAGCAATTAATTCTCTAAGCTTCTGTTCACGCTACCAAACAAAATTAATCAGAAATAATTAGTGTTTTTATTTTTGGAGTCTCTGTAGATTCCTTCTTTTGTTTTGAGGTCTCCTTGAATCTTTCTCATTATAAGACTGACTTGGCACAATGAACCTAGTTGGTGGCCTTGAAAATTTTTTTCTTAACTGCTGCACTGCCATTGCTGTATTGTAGTACCCATTGTGGCCATCTTGCAGTCATGTTCAGAGAGATGGAGCTTACATTGATTGCTGGGTCATTTTTAGTTGAACAGAAGGGAAAAGTTAAGCACTCTCTTGTTCCTCCAAAAAGTTTGGCATTGTCCATCTAAACCCAGAGCTGGGTTCATAATGTTGAATTCTATCTAGCATGTTAGTGGTGGACTTTGGTTCTTTTTAGTGTACCCTGCCAAATCTTAAATGGTTACTAACATGCTCTTGTTTTTTTAGTTTTGTATCAATGTGCTTTGAGCTTGTGCCAATGGCATCAGTTTGAGATGATTGAGGTTGTTAAAAATTCATTGACAGGTGGAGTTGCCTTCGTTCTGACCTGCATTTGATCTGCTTCAAGCTGTTTTTGCATTCCGGTAGACTTGTGTGGGAATGCACAACCTGTCTGACACGGACAAAAGCTTCTCGACTCAGCTCATAAATATTAATCATTTATTTTTAAAATGTTAACATATTACACAGCATTATAATGATGCTAATTACAGACTTTAGACAGTAACAAGGACATGACACAGGAGGAGAAGACTTTGATAAGAGAACAATGCAATGCTTGCCACACGTTACAGTCTGTTCTTTAGATTTATCAATAACTATGCATTGGTAGTCCTTCCTGAGCAGATGTAAGTTAAACTGTTTAGGTAGGCCCTACATTACATAGTTGTTAATAAATCTAATGGACATGTGCATGGCAAAATGTTAGGCAAAATAGGTTAGGGGCTCCTCAACAGTGAGAGGACACAGACTGCCATAGCTTACTAGATCCCAAGTCCTCGGGTTTTGTTCTACTAGTCCATTAGATTGGTTCCTGTGCTTCGGAATGTGACGATTAAGGGGTAACTTGCTAATTACTTTTAAGGGTGCCAGTATTTCAGTTCCTTACCTGAAAGAAGACTCCCCTATTTATTTCCAGTCTTCTAGTTTCAATAACCTTTCAAATGATGAATAGCTTTTAGTGACCCACACAATCTTTTAGCCTAATGGGAAGAGCTGCTTATTGGCTGTGAAAGAAGAAGATTCTGCTTTGGTCATCAGATAATTGTTCCTCTTGTGAGTGAGAGGGGAAGACAGACGGACAGATGCTGCTGTCTAGTCCATGCATCGCCCCTCTGGTGCCTGCTGGAGATTTGGTTGGATCAATGTCCAGCCTTTGGCCATATTAGCTGATAATGACCAATGCAGACACATGAAAGCTGCACTGAGCATGTTATTAGTGAGGGCTGAGTCCACTCAAAGCTCCGGATCAGGTTTTGTCTGGGCTGCTAATAACTCCTATCTTAGTGTTTTCTCTTTTTTTCCTAATACCGAAAGAAAAGTAGATTATTCTGTCCGTGTGCACACTTCCAGGCATCCCCAAATCTTTGTCAGCAACTGTATAATCTTTCTTAACACCTGCCTTATTAGCGATTTTAACAGTTATTTATAGTAAATCACTAAAGGTGAAGATAGGTGAAATTGGATTGGTTTCTGTAGATTGCCATGGCTTGCCAAGTGTTTATATAGATTGCCATGGCTTGCCAAGTGTTTTGCTATGACCTCGATATCTAGTCTATTGTAACAGACCGGGCAATCTAATGTGATATTTGTATTTTACTTTTTATTTCACTATATTTACTTTGTATATGTAACTCTTCAGCTTGAAGACATTTGCTGCCCTGTCAGTTTCCTAATCTTGCATGTGGTCTCCTTACTTCTGAGTGTGCACAACAGCATCAAAGTAATAATCGGTCAATTTGTTTTAAAGTACAGCTTTAATGAAAGACAGACGTGGGCTGCCATTGGTGGGTTCTTTCTGAAAGAGCTGGATGCATGGCACAAGCTGCTAGTAAACATTAGGAAGAGCCAAACATATACAAAGTATATGTACAGGAAGTGAGAGTAAATCTTCAACAGGGATACAGACAGAAATAAAAATCTGACTGGGTCTCTAGCCTTCCCCTTTTCTAAGGAAAAGCATTTTTATTTAATTTTGTGTTGGTGTTGGAGAATTCCCCTTCATACTGTAAACTCATTAATGTGACCTCAATATGTATCCCCTATTAAATGATGCTTGATTATTCCTCACTTTCTGTTTCCAATATACTGTAACTCTTATCAGAATTACTGGAAATTAAGTCATGGAAAAATCCTATATGGAAAATGTTTGCTGTAGTTAATATCTTAATGGAGAATACTTAATCTAACATTCATTCACAGAAAACTCCCAAACTCCGTTACTGGAAGAGCCATTGGCTCAAATGACTCCCGAGGAGCATTACAGACGCATGATGTCAGCACTTAACGAACATGGCAGCTTTGAGGAACAGCAACAGCGGCTCTACCAGCTGGCGAACACCATGGCAGTCCCTACACACAGTGGTAAGATTTACCATAAATTGCTATCCTTAGACACCTATTACTGGCTGTAATCATGACTTAAAAAGATCTGTTCCCTGTCATTTGTCTTAAGTTCAATGAACATCCATGTTACATAGTTGTTTGGAATATCCAGCTAAGTAATATATTTTGCTGATTAGTTATAGGGTATGTGTAAGATTTTCCAAGCCTTCACTTATTTACATTTCTACTAGCAATGCCAAGCATCAAATAAAGTGGATGAATTGTTAATGTGTCCAGAGAACATTGCTATGTCACAAGGCCCACTTAATTTTCAGTCTGATTTTAGATTATGCATTGTAGCCCGATTCACTGTGTTTGAGGAGGCCCTTTGTCAAATAATTCTGTATAGTGCCATGGCTATGGAGGGCAGTGTTTAGAGAATACATTGGTTTCCAATTTGGCAGGTTTAGATTCAGGACTATTAAAAAGTAAGGATTCAACTATAGGGGGTTAGAATAAAAACCAGCTGCAAGAGGTGAATGCTAGGGTGAAGGGTAGAGCCATTCACCAAATAGACTGCGTCAAAAGTCTTTTTACATTGGGGGTGTTTATTATATAGTTTGTACTACAAATTCTGGAATACTTTCTGCCAAAACAGTTAGGTGTTCCTGAAATGGAAGAAGTCTTCAAATAAGTAATCCAGTCTGACATTTTCTGGCCTGCAGCCCAAACCCATAGGCCAGTTAATTTATTGAACTGTGTATATGTGGCTTAGGCCATATTCCTCACAATTCAGCATATTATACAGCAATTGGGACAGTGAGCTAGTGGTCTGAAGGTCAGCCAGTTGTACATGATGGAAGAAGGCAGTATGGTTCTGGTAGATTGTACCATCTAAGGTCTTGACTTTGGCACATAGCTGATACTGTTATCTCTTCAGAAGGCACATCTAGTGGATGCAGCAGGACTCATGGAGACACAGTCACTTGAAGTAACACCAGCTGTTTTCACAGGGACAGGACCGTGATTCAGAGCACCGATTTTAATAAATCAAGGCCGCCGCTCGACTAACCCGTTAGGGCTTTGATTTATTAAAATCATTACTCTCAATCGTGACTGAGAGTCAAAGGGTGGCCTTGATTTATTAAAATGTACCAGCCTGAGGGGGAAGGGATCTACATCTCTAGATAGTAACAGATTCTAGGCTTGCCTAGTACGGAGGAGAAGCCAGATAATGTCCTCAGCTATGTAGGGGCCACAAACAATTATATCTCCCGTTCATATATCTCATGGTGCAAATCAAGATAGAACCTAAATAAATGTGCACCTCCTCCAGCTCAGACAGTCTGTATAGAGCTCCCCTAGAAGTATGGAGAGGCAGATAAAAAATTTAAGCACCTAACATGTCTTTCTTCCAGAAATGGTATCTGCAATTAATAACAGTGATTACTCCTGCCACATTCTCTAAAATGTGTTTACATCTAGCTAGGTTAAAGTGTAATTCCACGTTTCTGATAAACCGCTAGTGGAAATAATTAGGGCTGGTACTGATTAAAATTTTTGTGTTCGAGTAATCGAAACATTTTTTAATCGATGAATCGATTAATTTCGATTAATTATAACGCACATACAGATCCAACTACATTGCCCTATACACATACAGCACAGCAATGAAGTAATAAAATGAACTAGGATCACACTAATCCAGCACGTTATTAATCTCACGTGCCCCACTCAATATGGCCGCCGCTTGAGTGGGGCAACTCAGAATAATAACGTGCTGGATTAGTGTGATCCTAGTTCATTTTATTACTTCATTGCTGTGCTGTATGTGTATAGGCCAATGCCTTGGCTGGCGCTCGTGCAGAAAGTTTAAAAAAAATGTAATCGATCAAAAAGATTAACGATTAATCGAGAAATTAATCGTTCATTTGCACAGCCCTAGGAATGATGTATTTTATGCTCTGCTTTCATTACCTGTCTTGTATCCATATGCAGTTAGCTCTGGGAGTATCCTCTATGTTGAGTGATCCATGAACTTAGTTTGTTGGTCTTTGATAAATCCTAATTATGCAGTTACACATTTTGCTAACTTGCTGTATCAGTTTTTCTTCTTGTAGACCACATGTATTCTATATAGAGGGATGAAAACCAATATTATAAGTCTTGAGTTTTAGAAGTTTATTAGCCAAGAGTTTTTTTTTATAATGAAGGGTAAGTGTACTTGGGCTCTCAGAGCCAGTCTGACACCTGGATGGTGTTGCCTATACTCAGTACAGCAAACAAACTGGCATTTCCACTACTTATACATCTGTATTTAACATGGTTCTGCCGAGATCCATCCCTCTGCACTAACAAAAAAAAACCAAAAACAGCCAAGGAAGTGTACACCCGGGGAGAGCTGAACCGTTCAATCAGCAGACATGGGAAGGCTGTGCTGGATCCTATTTGAGTTGTGCTAAGCAGTCAGAAACCAGTAGTGCTCTGGAAACGGTTAAAAGTCTGTCTGGACCTTTCCATAGGATTGCAGGCATTCATTAATTGCACTTGGCTTATTAAATAGGACTAAGTACATTGACCCTGACTGAGAGGAACAGGGCATGCTCAATTTCACTTTGCAAAGAGAAAATTCATTTAGCTTAGTGAATAAGGTGTTTTGACTTCAATCACCCAATCCTGTTGTTCAAATGTATTTTTTTCAATATTCCCTGTGAAAGTGAGCATGCTCTACTATTTTAGTAAATCAATCCCGATGTGTCAAGTGTGGAAATGAAACCTCAACCCTGATCAGATACCGGGTGATTTTGCTGACAGGCTGAACTACACGGTGTCCCTTTTGGATTCCAGAAGCCACATTCATTACAAACATTCTTCATTGATAGATTTGTCATAATGTAGTTTAAACAAATAATTAAGATGTCAAGCTGACACCTCGGAGAAATAAAAGAAGCAGGAAAATGACTCACTCCACCTTTACTCCCCTAATTGAAATATATGTTTTGGATGGAGTTTATCTTTAAATGGACCCTAGAATATCAGTTGCATCCATTCCATGTGTGCAGACAGTACTTAAGCAGTTTAATATGCGTCCTTAGTAACATTGGTTTTGTCCACCATACATATGCGTGCACTGGGCACAGGCTATATGTATCGTGTTGTCTCCGACTTACATGCATTAAATAGTGAACATCAATTTTAATGATCTCACAGTGTATCTTGGAGAAGACAGTGTTTAATTGTGCTTCGATCTCCTCTATACATAAGGGGGTTATAGCAGAGCTGATGGCTCCGCTGGGCAAGGGGACTAATATTTCAGGCTCGGCCTGTATTCTCTTCCCGGCAGCTGTGATATAAATGCAGATCCATGAAGATTTTTATCTGCACTTTCTCCCGTCTGCTATTAATTCTGTCTTGTGATCCTGGATTTATCCGCAGCCTACTGGGCTTACAGTGTCACTCCATGTGATATTCCAGCTGTCAGAGAAACAGCCTGGACCCTGTACATTTTTAGAGGCAGAGGGGGGACTGAGTCAGGGTACCATATCCGGGCCTGTCACTGATAGCAAGGGACTTAAATGGCATGTCAACAGCAGCAGCAGAAACACCGCATGGCTGTAACAACAAGCAGATGCAGTAGATACCAGCTAACCACTGACCTGTTTCACTCATACACAGTTCTAATACACAGTTCTTTGCTGAACTCCAGGCAAGGATGAAATACATGTATGAGAGCTGCTGTACCTGCCGAAGGGTTTGTAATTCTGTTTATCCAGTTCTGAGATTAACATTCCTGTTTGGCAGGACAGGAGATCTGATTTTTGTCTGCTGCAGTCAAGTTACACTTACAGGTCTTGTCCATGAACCAGCCAGTGATGTGGGATAAGCAACAGACTAATGAGCCCATCTTTCTGTCACTCTCCTCCCATCAGCTTGTCCCTTGTTAGCACATGAGCACTGCAGCAGGACTGATTGGCTCCTTGTGCTGCTTCTCCATCTCGCAGTCTGAACTCTGCTGTACAGAGGGCTGCAAGAGGCTGAGAAGATTTAGGTACATAAACTGCTTGAATCTTTAAAAAAAAGGCATTTAGTGATATGCCTGGATGGGAAGGGGGTTTAACACCGCGGATGTCAACTGGTTAATACAGAGCTGCATTCATTTTTTTTTTTTTCTATTGCATGGTAGAATGTACAAATTACTAATTGCTTGAAGGACACGTCTAACCAAAACTGATGTCAGTTTTTGGTAGGAATTGGTGGGTCAATAATAGTTCTCGTCTCAGACCCCTACACATAAGGTATGTGTACTCCTTTGCAGCTGAATTCTCCATTACAGAGAATCCTTGGAGGGAAGTGACACCATTATTTGGCATTGATATTATTGCAGTATTTGAGTGAAACTAGGAATGCTGGTGGAGATATCTTGCCAAGTAGTGTCCCATAAAAAAAAGAAGAGATCATATTTTTCAACATGTTGATCTTTATTAGTAAGGTAAGGATATACTGTAGGCTGTATTAGTAAAGAGAAGACCATTAAGCAGAACCCGATAGCAGCCAATCAGAATGAAACCTTGCTCTGATCTCACTATAGTAGATTGAAATCCCATTGATTGGCAGGGATTGCTGCACTTAGTACATTTTCAATGCTTCTTGTGAGCTTTATTGAATAAAAAGGCAGAACTTCTAACAGATAGGAAAAACAAGAGGAAGATATTGCAGGAGGAAATTCACAGGAAGCGAGAGGTATAATCAGAGTTGGCCTCGGGGAATAGTTATTTCTTTAATGTTGTTGACAAGTTGGAGGCTTTATGAGTTCCCTAGTAGCTGGGGAACTGAAAAGGCTTCAGCCATTGTGAGACCATTGAGATGTTATGAGAACCATTGCGTCATCCATTGATGTGTCTGCTGCATGTCTGGTGATATATATTGGATTCTTAGAAACATTGGTTATTGTTTCGGAATGGCTGTCCAAATTGTGCCCATGCAATTCTAATCAGGCCATATTTTGCATGTGCCAAATTCTTTATGTCATGTGGCTCATACTTGATCCAAATTGCTCTACCATTTTCTTATTCTTTGAAAACTAATGTACTTTCCATAATGCCATAAAAACTGTTAGCTCATGTATATTTTCATGTCATCTCTATGTGCTACGTATGTAAACCCATCTGACACCTTCATTCTTTGTGCAATTTGACCAGGCTATAATATCTAGCATGAAGCAGCAACACATTCTCCCCGCTGTGTCATTTCACCTTGTCATTTATCACTTGTCCTTTGTGCCATTCTATCCTGTGTGTCTGCTGTGGCTACACTGCCATTGTATGCTGGGAGCTGATTGCATCTCATGCCGAGGACCATGGTCAGGAGAATTGTAGAGTGGGGGATATTAGATAAGGAGAATTACACAAGCTGTTATGTCCGTATATATACTGTAACTAAATCATCACAGCTTTTGCAGCAAAATGAGTCTAGTCCCAATCACTAAAATCTCACATAAGCTTAAGCATGCTAATATAATTTCAAAAGCGTTTTTTAAACATGACATTTTTTACAAAATAAAACCTGGTGATCCAGCCATTATGGTCCTGTTTCAGGCACTTCCTGTTATGGGTTCCTGCGTTGTCACCCTGCCATATGCACCTCTACTGCAGACTGCAAGCAGCCATGTCAACACACATTGCACAGACATGGCCCGCCATAATTAGGAAGCCAGTTCAGAGCAATAGTGTGCAGCCAACACTGGAGCGAGTGCTTTTAAAATAGCAGTGTGACTTGAAAGAGGCTGGAGGAGATTGGCAGCACAGATATAAAAAGGGAAACTGTCAGTTTACGATACCCAGTGCTTTTGCAAACTTAATATCATCCACTTGAGATCTGCCTTTAAGCTTAAAGGAGAACTATGAGATGAGTGATTTCCACTCACCTTATAGTTCTAGCCGACCTGTGACAATGAGACTGTCACAGGTCGGCTCAGTAGATCGGGAGGTGAGCGAACACATACCAGGTTCGCTCACCTTCCGATCCTGTCACGGCTCTCTGCCGTGACAGGGGGAGGGGCTGGATTCCCCTCTTCCCGCTCCGATCTGCCAACGCTGATTGGCGGAACGGACGGGGGAGGGGGCGGGTACAGTTGGCTCTGCCTCTAGATAGGCAGAGCCAGCTGTCACTCACGCAGCTGGGTGGATCCCGTCATCTACGTCGGGATCCGCTCCGGCGTCTCAGTATACCGCTCGCTGTATACTGAGCCTAGGGTGACGGGAGGATGCTAGTTTGTGTCCTCCCGTTACCCTAAGGAGAACTATGGGGAAAAACACTGACCCCATAGTTCTCCTTTAACTTAACTTGGGGCCAGATGGGGTGGATGGCTGGGTAGCTTTTGCCATAATTTGCAAGGCATACTTGTACATTATGACACATTTACCCCTTGGCATGCTGTCCTTTAGTGGTGCAAGCTTCCACTCTATTGCCATCTTCTTCTCTCTTTGCCCCTTGGTTGGCCACAGATGATGTAACTCCTGCTAATGCATGTGAGATAGGTGATAGGGTTGCTTTGGGGCACTTTAAAGGCAGGATTTGAACTTGTAGGCACATCAATTTTAGCACCTAAAACAGAACCCTTTTACAGGGGTCACCTCTTTAAGGGCCTTTGTCGACAGGGTTTGGTATCAATGGCATCAGTTTGAGACGCTTCTAAGATCATTCAGAATTAATTTTCAGGTACAGTTGACCTCCTTCTGACCTGCATTTGTGCTGCCTCCAAGGGGGTATGGGAATACAAAACCTACTTGAAGTGAGCAAAAGCCCATTGACACAGGCCCTTACAAAAACAATTTTCCTATTTTATTGGGCTCAACCTGGTTTAGGATACGGTGACAGTGTGTAAATAAGCTTATATGCAATGATATTTCTGTATTATTGATAATGGGGAAAAAATGTGCAGCTAAACAGGGAAAAGCCACCTATTGCCTCTTACCCCTTATAGGGCAAAGTCTACAATGCCTAATGACATATCTGGCCCTGGGTACTTCATATCATAGCTGTTTGCACTATTTGGTTAAATGGATGGCAACTGGTAGGCAGTGGCAAATTAATTTTAATAATCTAATTGTAGTTTGTTTAAATCAAAAACAGAACAAGTTTTTTTAACATAATTGTAATTTTTTGTTTTCCATTTTCCAGCTGCAAATTGATATTTTGGGGGACCCCAGTATATTATTATTATGTGTCCAATATAGATGTTTCTGAGACTGTAAAAAAATATCTGCTTAGTTTTGAGATTGTGTTCCAAATATGAAGGAAAGGATGTGGTACTTTAAGACAGGCAAATACAGCGCTGATTCTTATCTCTGGGTGGTCAATTTTAGTTTGCTGAATAATTCTGGCTTCCTTTAAATTTGCTGATAGCCCCCGCTCACCCTCCCATCTCTGTGGCTTGTGTTCCTGAAGCTGCCAGCTCTGACAGGCTATGACACCCCCATGACTCTGCCAAGCGCAGCAGCCGGGAAGCCCCCCCAGGCTGAGCTGCCATATCTCATCTACACAGCGTGTCTCACAGATAGCTCGGCATCCAGGAACACAGTTGGTAACCTGGAGCTTGAGGAGCCAGGATCTGTGGCGGGCAGACATAGCCAGACTCAAAGCCCTTACCCCCAGGCAATTCACTCGGCACCCCTAGAAAGGCAATTAACCAAGCAGTCTTAATTGCATAAAAGCTGTATCTAGGTGTTATCATCATTCCGCGTTTCTTTTTAATTGTGATGTGTGATCCTGACAAAAGTATGCTAGTGTACCATTTATTTCAGTACACAACACAATATAGGGTATGTTCATTGCTGGTATTATTTTAAAATGAAGGATAATACTTTAAAAGAAGGGGCTGTTGAAATTACTAAAAAATAAAACTTTATTCAACCACTTGAGTACTAACCTGTATTTTCAGTTTCATTGCAAGTCATGCTTCAGTTCCAGATAGTCATATTTTGCACATGTACCTGGCAGGGAGATGCACTGCAACACTGTGACAAGTAGATCACAAAAAGGGTTGTAGTTCAACTATTGGGTTATGTTATATAATGGTTAGGTAGGGTTTGTTTGTTTTTTAATCATCATGTATGTAAGAAGTTGATTACATATGAAGGGGCGTGTTGATGGAAGTCACAGCACTTTTCCTGTAGCCATAAGCAACAGCTGGCATAAAGATATCAGGCGGGAAGATTTGTAACCCTTGCGCCTAACACTGCTATACACATACATGCTAATTGTATGTGGGTCTCTGTGTGTTGTGACTCTTAGGATAAAATAATACAGGAATGCATAGTATGCCAGTCACATATGCACTGACAATGGAGAACAGTAGAGGATTGGAAGAAAAGTTCAAACACAGAGAATCTACTGTTCTGAATGATGTGTTCTGAAGTGCACTTAAGAGCAGGAAACCCTATCATGCCACTAATTATGATGCAAGGATTTGGCCTGTTAGGGCTAACCAGAGGGCACAGTATTGAGGGTTTTCAACAGTTGCAAGCACTCGCCACAGACCGAATTTTGTACAACATGGAATATCTTCTAGTGGCAGGGACAAGCAGAGAAAGAGAGATAATTAACTGCATAGATGCTGCTTCTAGTGAGGTACAGACCACATGGCTGCAGGTATTGGCGTATTCAAGGACAGACAGCTTGTCGCTCACTCTCATCAAACCTTCTGTGGCTCTCCTAACAGGTCTATTCACAAAAGGGTGAAGGATCTGGAGAAGGCAGGAGAAGTGAACAATCTAGGACAAAATAGCCGATTTGGAAAAATTCTCCAATTCAGCTCGCTTTACAGTTCAGCTATGTTGTCCTAGATTGTTGCCTTCTCCTGCCTTCTCCTGCCTTCTCCAAACTCATTACCGTTTTGTGAATAGACCCCTAAGTCTCCATTTGCTGACCCACAGCCTTGTAGTTCTTTGATACCAACTGCATATGGCTATTGTTATTAAACTGTAGCTGTATGCCTCCACTTGCACTTTTTCATTTCATGCCTATACACCCAGCTCTACTGTGGTCTGTGGGATACTCACCTGTGTGTCAGTATATGCAATAACCTATTCTGCAGGCACTGACCCAGGAGTGACTTACGTAAGCATGTTCCTGTCTGTCTAGCGTGGAGAATTTCCACTCTCATCTCTGCAATGGAGGGATAACTAACAAACCATACTGGCGCCTGGCTCACACTTCCCACATGAAGAATCGGACTTGGACCTGGAAAGTAACCTCAGTCTGCATCTGAGAGAGGCGTAAAAAAAGTTGAGAAACTGTGGCAATGCTTGCTGGTTAGGATTTATATATAGTTTAACTGTATTTGGCTGGTCCATAGGTTATCTTTAATGCCCTCAGTAAGGGAATCTTGGCCCTTTCCACCTCCTCTCTTAGCCCCCTCCACCCAGGAGTGAGTCATTTGGCCGCATATGCTTTCTAGTTAACCGTGAGGCTCTAGCTCCAGTGGAAGTGAAACATGTGGTTTTGATTGTGCAGAACCGAGAGGGAGCGAGAAAGGGGGAGGAAGAGAAGCTAAAAAGGAAAATAGAGAGCGGAACAAAAGAGGGCAAGATATGGAGCGAGAGAGTGATAAAGAGCAGGATGAGCTTTGTGAGCACCCAGGTAATGATTGCTGCACATGGATAGATGAGTAAGGAGTTCCGGAGAAGATGTGACTTGGGGGAGGAAGATGGATTGTGCAGGATATCTGTGTTAGCAGATGCCTTGTGAGTAGTTTGCCTCACGCCCGGGTGTTTGAGCTTCAGACTTTATCTACTTTTCTTTTTTCAGATCTGTTGCGGGCACGCCAAGAAGTGGCAGCTGCTGTGGTGAGAAACTCAGGAGCCATGGAAGCTCACATGCCCACCTCCAGTAACTCCTCAAGCCAGCGGAGGAAGCAAGGCCTGCCGCAGCATCGGGACACCTCCCACTTCACAGACAGGTACAGAGCAACCTATGGGCAGTCCTGTGTCGTGTGCACCTATAGCAAATGCATTTACGTAGAACTTGATGCTGCACTCTAAATGCAAAATTCAGCATTGCAGAAAATGATCCATATGGTTCTACTAATTGAAAGAGCATGCAAACATGAACCGAAAAATGGCTTCTATAACTCCCATTACCAACATTCAAGGAAGAATGTATAAACATTTCTGGAAATTAACAGATCTAAAATATTTGAGATAGAAATGGCATGGAAGGGAGGGGCGATGTTTTCCTACAGACAGCTGACTTCTGTCAGGGAACCCCAATGTATACGGTCATGTGTGCTGGTAGTCAACATCAAATGTTGACAACAGCATCTTATATGGTATTTTTCTGTTCATGTATATTTATCTATAATTGTTGGATTACAGTGAAACATGACATCACCTGAATACAGATACTTTTGTTTTGGGTGGAGTTTGGCCATGGTGGGATGCTTCGAAAACTAAGTTTGCAGCTCAGCTACATGTTTCTCCAGGAATTTCCTTCCCACACTGCCCTTATGGTCCCCGTGTGTGAGGGTGGTAGTTTGGACAATGGAGGAGTAGTTCACAAGAGGTTATAAACAGGGGCTGCAAAGTTTGTTATGCACATCTTAAGACCGTTCCTAAAACCATTTAGGTGCTGCGGCCCACACCGGGTGGTGCTCTAGTCCTCTTCCCAAGTATTGGAGCTGCGCAAAACTGCACATGTATGACAATTCTCTATAGGTACTAATGGAAAAGTCCTCTCCATGCAAGCCTGCATTTCTATTGAAGCCTGTGGAGAACACATTGGTTGAGAAAAAGAGGCTAGCACAGACTGGCCCAGCGTAGGTCAAGGTTCTTGGCTCATGTGGTACACACAGCTAATCAGTCTGTATGGTTAGCATCTGGAGGAGGGTCAGGTAAATGTATATTTATCCTTTAAGGTGTAACTGAACGAATAGGTGAAAGCCTAAATCCACATAAGGTATATGTGTACTACCTTGCCTAGACTAAATTGGTTGCCTCCCACCCTGGAAATAATATCATGCCATGTTACTGCCTCCACAGTCACTGACTAAAAAAGGAGGCAGTCCCCACCTACTTATCTGCAGCTTACAGACACAGCCAATCACATTTAGGTGCCTTTTACACTATACTGGACATTAAACACCCATTGCAATGTATCAAAAATGCATGCGCATTACCGTTTGAGAGTTGGCATGCATTGTTCAGCATTTTTTAGTGCTGTTACCTGGAAGGGTCAAAATAATTACCATTTTTTCTTCTACCGTTGCGCATTGTTTACATGCGTCCATGTGCAATGTGTTAAAATGCACACACGCTCCATTTTAATAAAACTAACTGCCATGCATATCTCCACAGTGTTGCGATGTGAACAAGGAACTTATACGACCATTGTTTTCCATGGCACCTGGCAGTGCTCTGCATTGATCCATTGCAGAAAAACGCAGGTCACTGCACATGGTGTGAATGGGCCCTTACTCTTATCTTAGCATTGCATTCCACATTTGCAATATGTTATTTAGGGTTTTTTCTTTGTTATTCTTTAAATATAAATATGAATGATGTACAACATAGATGATGTAAAGAAGCCACACCATCTGATCTTTTCTGGGAAAATGCACCTCTTTGTGTAATAAATGACATGCATATATGAAAGTGCAAAGCTGTAATTAGTATAAGTGTTGTGGGCATATTGTGGGAGAGGGTGCCAGCTTAGTGACATCAGTGTGACAGGACACAGTGCAGATTGAGAGGTGCGTTGTGTGAAAATACACGGTGAGTAAGCAGCGGTGTGTGGGCAATCTTTAAGAGCCCTGACGCACACAAGCACAGCACACTGGGAATGGGAACTAGCTAAGCTCCATCCTTCAGAACAATGTGTTTGAAGTATTACCTTTACAATCATGTAAAAGCTCACAATATAAAAATCCAAGGTTGTCTAGCAATGAATAGTAGTTCTAATATGCCGTCACTCTTTATTTAAGCTGACATTGCATTATTAGCAAAGAAAGAAAAACAAAAAAACTCTCATAACTGAGTATTGTGAAGAGTATATTGTGGAGCTGCTATGTTTGAGAATGATCAGATGCACACAGGGGAGTTAGAAACATAACTCGGGTATTGTTTTCATACAGCATGCAAATTATACGGTAATTTTGTTCCTTCATGGTCTGCTTTAAGCATTTTTTGTAGTATGTTTTATTAGCCATCAGTTCCTGCCTGTATGTATGTATATCAACTCAGGGAGACCATTGCAAAACAGTAAAAAGAGGTCAACTGCAAAATGCTAGTAGTTGTAAAGAGACAACCTTGAGGCCAGGTTCACACCTAGGTGATTGAGCTGGTTTTTGTTTACGCGATTTGGCTTTGAAAACCATGTGATTTTCAATGCATAGAGATGTCTATGGGACCAAAATCGCGCGACAACCACCCGAAAATAGTCCCTGCACCTTTTTGCGCAACAGGCGATTTTGCACGTTTGACGCAACGCAAAGGTGTGAACAGCTTCCATTGACTTCAATGCGAATCTGTGATAGATATAAATTGCCTAGGTGTGCACCAGCCCTCAATGGTTTTAAGAGACACTTGCTGGAAGCTGTTTCAAGTGACAGGGACATTTGCACTGGTTAGTAAAAGTGACTGCTCTCATGTTGGTTCAGATCAGGTCAACAGGTGCACTTTTTTAAAAGTAATATTTATTTCCTTTCCATTCTAGCTCATAGTCAACTGCAGTGCTCAGACTCTGGCAGTCTTCTTTGACTGCCAGTGACTCAAGTAGATATTTTATTTTCTCCATTTATGTGTGATTCTAATTCCTGGCTCTTTGAGATTTCCTTTCTTTTTTTTTTCCTTTAGTCTCTGTTGTTACACAGGGAGTGCTGGTTTCTAGGCAAGAGCAAAGTGGTCTTAAGATGTTAATCTCACTCTTTGGAAGGATGACCAGGCACAGAGCTCTGGAAGGATGTGTAGGATCAGTCTCTGCAGTAGGATTGCATTAACTGCGATAGCGTTGTGGGAACATGTGTGAGCGAAGGGGTTTGCACTTTGGCTAACCCTTCCCATCATGGGGAAAGCTGCAGACACGCCAGTTGTGGGGATTGCATGGTTCCTGTCCAGCATAACTCCAGGAAAACCTCCCAACCTCTGTGTGGCCTGGATGTCTTCCAGGGAAGCCAAAGGAATAGATGAAGAAAGCATGTTTGGGTGGGGGAAAGAGCAGGAGAGAAGGGAGCAAGTGTGTCTGAGGAGCTAGATCTGGCGCTGACCTGTAATTTCCATCTGGAAGGGAGCAAGTCCTCCTCTCTGCGCCAGACTTCATGAGGGAAGAGGGGAATGCGGTTGTTGTTTAGCACCAGATAAAAGATCATTGTCTGGGCAGGACCGGATCTTCTGCCGTTGACGCTGGCAGAGGACTAGTAAATAACGGTTGAATCCAGTAAGGGGGCGGGAGAGTCCTCGGGCTTTCTATAGGATCAGTGTTTGGCAAACAAAAACTGCGGTTGTTTTTCTTCTGTCTGGTGCAGGCTTGACAGGGTGGGATTATCTGGCTCCCAGAGGGGCCTGTTGCCAGACACTTTTTTCCCCCTAGCTAAATAGCGAGACAAGCCTGAAACTCTTGTGACATTGTCAGACTAGAGATAAGCTGAGCCACTCTCAAGTTCCTGTTGTCACTCTGGTGATACAAACCCAGCAACTAATACATGTTTTTCAAAAGACACTTTTAGTAGTTTTATATGTAATGTTTGAAGCAGTTAGGAAATTATCAATTCTAGGTAACTGTAATAATATTTCATGAAACGAGTTCATCGTGAAACATCAATGCCCTGATTTTGTCCTGGTAATCCCTCATACAGTTATGGCATTGGAAAGGCTCCTCTTTCGCACCTTATTATTCCTTCACCTGGGCACTAGATTATTTTTATTATATTGATTTTCTGCAAAGCACATGTACATATGTGGAAAGAAAGTTGGTTCTAAAGGTGTCCTTTTCAAAAGTTAGACTAGGCCTATCTTTCACCACTGAAGATGACATTCCTTAAAAATTCTAACCTGCAGGCACAAGTCTGTCAACCTGCTAAGAAGACCTCCATGTATGCCCCTTGTAGACCAATTGTATGCTTTTTGTTAACTTGCAGGAAGTTACAGTTAAGGGGTGCCTGGTAATCTAATGGCTAGATACCCATCCATAACTTATAGTTTGTGGTTAGGTGAACAGACTTGGATCTCATCACAGATGTTACATTTATTTGCACATGCAGTAAACCAGGCCTTACTCTGACAGTCTGTGATGGTGTAGGAGGTGGTCTGGTACTGCTTGGATGAATTCAGTCAACTGCTGCATGTCACTAGTGCACTGACAACTTGTAGATCCATTGACCTAGCAGTCCACCTGGAAGTGCAGTCCTTAGTTCAATCAAGTACACTGCCACTCTGGATCACATGGTGTTCATTTGCCTAAGCTTTGTAAAGGCTGTGTATACTCCACTCTCGTCTGGCCACTGCCCAACACTACCATGCCTCCTGCTCCAAATACTCCTTCCAGAGGGCATGGTTGTGTAAGTACTTGCATTTTACCACATTGTAAGAGGGAACCCACTTACCCGCCTTGAAATGCAAACCCTAACACCTCCATCTTTTGCCGGCACTAGGCAATCCAAGGTTTGTAGTGACAGGTGCTTACTTGCCTAGATAGACACATCAATATCTTTGTGTTAGGCATTCCAAGTTCTGCCCTTTAGTAAAATATCCCTAATGAATGACAGAAGACTTCCAAGTGTTCAGAAATTGTTCACTCTGTTTATTATGTGCTGATCAGGGGTAATTTTCGAGAGATTTCACAGATGGTTGCTATTTTGGATACTTCTCATGATTAGCCGATTAGCATTCATTAAGACTCTTTTAGAACCTGTTTTGTGGGTCTGCATGATTGTAAAGGGTTAAGAACACACACTGATGCTGGCTAGCC